AACAACAACAACAAAATCCAAAATAACGGTAAAGAAAATGATTCCAAACTATGGAATTTATGGAAGGCTTAACTGTGATCCTTCAGTTTGTAAAAGACAAAGACAAGATACAGAAATTCATTTTGGCACTATGAAATACGATGGAATGGCAAAAAAAAAAAAAAAAAATACAAAAAGGCATCAGATTGAGAAATACAGGGCACCACAACACACTTCTCATGCTGGATTACACAGCGGTGAGAAATCAAGACACACTGACGTGTTTTCCGTCTGTATCACCCCATCCACTGGGCTGGGCTTGACACTGGATGTGAAGACTCGGTGCCTGGGAGAGCAATGGCAGGTCCCTATTGTACTGACTGGTCTTTAAATTTGGCTGCCTTATTCTAGGAGCTCTATTCTAAACTCAGTGAGTTCAGAAAGGCTGGGCCAGCCAGCAAGTAAAGTTGGACCTTTGGTCTTCAGAAGATATGCTTTTGTCTTTGGTTGTTTTTTGGAGCCCCTGTCATTTTGTTTGATGCCCTTCACACTTTTCTCCTCACCTTTTTGTTAGTTGTAAGGTTTTTCCTCCCGTAATTGAATCAGCTAACAAACCTCTGAACTTACTTCATTAGGTGCAAGATCTATTAGAAGTGCATTCCGTGGTCAAGTATATTCTGAGATGATAATTGAACCCTCTTTTTGTTATGGAGCTCTTAGTACCCTTATGTAGGAAAGAGATCAGAAAACCTCAACAACACAACATAATCTAGCAGCACTAAGGCAACATGGACAAAAGGTATCTATTCCCACGTGATCATTTCTGGAAATCAAAACTACCCAAACCAAGAAGGTTCCAGAAGTTCTGAGCACAGAGTACTGGAACCTAAAGAATGGGAAAAATCTACTTAATAGTCTGTCTTCAATCATCAGCCTCCAAAGCTGTCCTATTATTGCCACATTCCTGTGTGGTGTCTAATACAATGTATGGAAAAAAGTCCTGACCTCACATCTTCCAGTGGTCAGTTAGAATGTTCACTGGGACCCATTCTACCCGCCCAATTATTCCCCAAGTCTTCTTTTCAGTCCTTACTTTTATTCACAAGGAATGATTTAATACATAATCCTCAAACAACAACTGACACAAATTATATTCCTAGCTGATGGGATGGGTGGATGAGATTCATACATGAGGGTCAGAACATTCCCTTTAAGTCATACACTTCTATGACAAAAGGACGTACCAAATTCAGATACTTACACTGGACTTAGGCCCTTTTCTACTTGATATGGAAATTTCCACCAGTGGTCTTTCCATTTACTACTGTGGAAGGTTCATTAAGGCTCTTCTGGGGGTGTGTGGTGGGGTAAGGAGCTGACTTTTCTCCTTTCTTCACCAGCCAGTTATGAGATTTCCATTTTCTTCAGCCTGAAAATGTAGGCAACGGTTTGATGTGTGACTATCAGTCATGATCACTGGAATTCAATCTTAAAAGAACTTCAAACTCCTTTAAGGATTTCTGCCTGCTTTTCCAAGGGCCCAGAGAGCTTTCCATGTTAGATGCAGCACCCTCACCTAGTAGTAAGGTAAATCCACATGCTTCCCTAAAGAAGAAAGCTGGGGTAGATAGAGGGGATTGGGGATGCAGTCCCATTGGCAGAGTGGCCCAAAGCTGCTCTAGGGGGTGACTGAAAAACACTCAAAACAGGAAACACCTCCCTGATTTACGCAGGGAGAAAAAAACACCTTTTGCATTCTACCCTCAGCCTCAGCTCCTCCAACTTTCTACTCATTTTTTTAACTGTGGACTACACTTGAGTTTTGTTCATTTATCATCATCTGCTCTTGGTCATGTTGACACATACATCTTAAGACAGTGATATACTGATAACACTATGCCACATAATGTCCTATCTGATTTACAATAAAAACTATCAAGTGTTTCCTAGATGGATAATTACAAGGATCCCCTATTCGTTTCCTCTTGGATTTTTTGGTCCATTGCAAATAATTTGGTACCTTGCCAAAAATTCCCCCCAGGACATACACACCCTCCTATTTTCAAGGAAGAAAATCTTACTGTTGTTAAGATTCAGTGTTGACCATCTTGTCATTTGTTTATATTAGTGTGGTTTCTACTTCCTAACCTGGTACTAAATTATACAAAGTCTTTAAGTTATAAAAGCGATTCCAGGCCAGAGGTGGTTAAGTATCATCTCAAAAGTATCTTTAGTGGAGGCCTAATCACTTCTTCGTTCCAAAAAAAACATTATCAAAACAAGTTTAGAGCAGGCTTTAGACTTGTGTTCACTAGCCTCTGAGAGGGTAGTCAGGGGGGGCTGGCAGTCCCAGGGCCCTGAAATTCTATGAGCATTTTAAATATTCATAGATATACTCTGTGCATTTGGGAGAAAGACAGTCCACAGCTTTCATAAGCTCAAAAGGACCCATGGCCCCCTCAAAAGAACCTGCTTTTGAATTTCAAATATTAAATTTGGGTCTTAGCAAATAAAAGTGAAAAACTTCTGAAACATTTGTTAAGTTACAATGTTTTCATGTTCAATTAGATCTTGACTAGACCATGAATAAAAGCTTTCTTATTCTGAGCTCCCTGACCTGGAGGAAATATTTAAGTTGTAAAACTTTGTATCAAAACTGAGGAACAGCCTAATATTTGGGTCCCAAACAATTTCAGAACTTTTTCACAAATTTACTAATGAATTTCCTTAGAAAATAACAAACTACTTCTGTCCATATAATTTACAAAAGTGGCAACTGTTCATGCAATACTGAAACTAAATCATTTGTCTTTTTTTACACATAAAAAATCAAGATGGTAAGGAAGAAATCAGGCAGTACAGGATTTCTATAGAAAAGAGACGTTTTCCACAGAGATTCACAAGTTTGAAAACTCTGCTTTGAAGTTTCCCATAAGAAAGATATTTTCAAAGATTTAAACCTTGGATTAAAATTGCCCTCTTAAATTAAAATATGGAGTCCAAGTATTTGGCTCAAATTTATGCAATTTGAATGAGAAAGTGTGCTATTTTAGATTTATAAGTGTATACAACATGTTTAGTTTTAGTTTTGTTTTTTTAAGTTTGTTAGCTTTAGATTTTCTCTTGGCACACTCAAGGGTCCTGCTTTTTAATAATTTGGGCTATGTGCCACTAGACAAAGATGAGTTAATTCCAAAAGCAGTCACTGTGTATGACCAGAGCCCACTTTCAAAAGGGCTAACGTGCATTCCTTAGTACGCGAAGATACATGAATATGCATTTAAAGCAAAAAGCATTCTATGCTGTGAATACAGAATACACAAATCTCTGCTTTGTGCATTTACTTATGGACCCACAATTTTCCAACATATATTCGCAGACCACTTCTTAACAACACTAGGCAAGCCGTTACAGTGCACTCCTATCTGTCAGATGGAATGTATGGAAAATAACTGCGGCAGGTGTGCTGATAAGACTCCCGACTCTGAGGATTTTAAGAAGCAGTAGAAAAGCAGTAAGGAACTTACTTATTGAAGAGTGAAAGCTTAAAGACCTTTCTGAAGGAAACTTCTCAGAGGCTATGTTAAGGCTATTGGAAAGTCCCATTTAAATGAGAAGGCTACCGATCGAAAATAAAATAAAGTGTTCAAGTCACCATTACTGGCAGCTCTGGTTTTGGAACTGATCTCAGATTTCTACTTTGTAGGCTGGGGGATCTCTTTAAATGGCCTTTAGTAGCTAGTGATAGTGCATGATGGAAATGGCTGAAGTGTCAGGGACACTGATGTGGCTTTACGAATATTTGGTGCCTGTAGTTCCTATAGTTGTTTTGAACAAGAGGAATGAGAGAGGTATCACTCTGGGTTAAAGCAGCTCAGGTCCAGGATAAAGGGGTCAACTCCTGAACGCCCCCTACTGGGGTGAAATCCTAAAACTGCTCTGAGAAGGCAAGGGAGCCCTTGGCAGACACCAAGATCAGTGGTATTAGGAAGAGATTATGATCAAGCAGCTTAATGCCCTTCACTGAAAAAAAGGAAAAATAAGAGTAATGGAGTAAAGGAAAAACTTACTTCTAGCATAATTTTTAAATTGACTCAGTTAAGTGCCTCCTCGTTAACCATTATGGAAAAAGTTTGGGGACCAATACAGTTAAGCTACTTGAGTTGCAATGACTTAGGACTTAATTATCCTATAGGATAGGATAAAAGCTTTAATCCCAAACATTAGTCGTTGCATTACATGGTTTAAAGGAACAACCAGCTTTGAGCTCTGCTCATCCATGCAAGGATTATACAATCTCAGTGCCCTAGCTAAATTGTTAACATTTTGTTACTATTTTACTGGTAAGCCTCTCATAGAAGATGGGTCTCTTGTATTTACACCGAAATATAACCTTTTCTCTTCCATATTACATTATGGCAGAGCTTATTCTTCAGGCAGGAGCCGAGAAGGTCTAAATTTTGCACTAGAGCCTTAATCATCTGATGGCAGAAACCATGACTCTCTGGTCACCACTGCCACCATTTGCGATAGAGGACCTTAACTATAACGTTAGAAATATGAATCCTGAATTTAGTTTCGAAGATCCACTAAAGAAAAAGACAAAAACCACAACACAGAATTAATGGTTTATAAAATTAGTCACGTATCCACATTTCACAGATAATTTTTTTTCTTCATCTATTCTTCTCACTTGGGCAGGAGATGGAAGCAGTGAGCAAATAGCAGTAAGGCAGCCCATGGCTAGCTGAAGAATGACTTGCAATGAATGAAAGAGGCAGCAGGAATATCCAAACATAACCTCAACACATTTAAATATTGCTTAAAAGCCTCTGTAAGGCTTATCAAATTAATCAAGGAATAAAACTCACATAAGAGTGATATTCCATATATCAAATATGTGTGTGTGCCTGTGTAATATATACGCATATTTGCATATATCTACATGGCACATGAATTTACTTAGGGGAAACGGTCTGGCAATTAATTTGGAACTCAAATGACATGGTTACACATAGATCATAATTTCTAAACACAATGTTAGTAAAACAAAATTTATTTGTAAAACAGGACCTGTTATATAAAATGGCACACAATCAAGTTATACAAAAATACAAAATTTCTTTCTGATTACAGTTCTAGTTGCAAATGATAATTAGAAAGCATTCCTGGTGGCTTCCAAATAGCTGAGATTGCGAGCATATGGAACAGGGAGCAGCAAGAGTCCATGGTGCAGGGATGTCCAAGTGAGCAGAACCTAATTCCAAGTTCAAGACTTCCATCAGGTCACTTTGGAGGGACATCTAAGTTAGCTAGCTCCTGGAATGTCTTCTGTTTTGATACCCATCTTCTACACTTTTGCCAATTCTAAATTTAGTATCCAATGTTTCTGAATGTCCAATATCTGTGTGGCTACGAAACAGATGGTGTTCTGAATTTTCTTACATGATTTGCTCTCTCACCTATTTGGACAATTGTTAGTTACATAATTATATTTATTCCATTTCAAATGATATAAAAGTGTACAGTGATACTGTCTGGCAACACTAGATGTTAGATGTTAACTTCTGGAGAATTGTTTCAAAATAGCTACTCTCAAAATGTTGGTTTCCCAGATCTTGCTAAGACATGAGCTCTTAATTGTAGTTTTTCTTTTTTAAATCCAGACTTTTATTGCAAATATTCTGAAAAATCAGAAATATCACATGAACTTTGAAAAGAAATCAAGGCATTTAGCAAATTTTAGCCTAGCTAAAGAACGCCAATATTAAAAAAAAAAAATACAATTTACCTTTTGCAGCAATTTAAAGGTCCAACCCTTTGAAAGGAAGCACATTAGCAAACAGCTGCTTATTAAGCCCTAGTGACATTAACTGTATGCATTTCCATAATACTGGTCTAACTCACTGTCTAATTCTGGGAGGAAGCAATGCTTTCTTTCAAAAGATTCTCCTTCCATGGAATGATAAAATGCTGAGGCTTTTTTTTTTTATTTTGTACAGAGCCTGTATTTAGTGCAATAAGTTTAAAAAATTTGCTCTGAAATATTTACATTAACAAAAATAGCTTTTTTTAAAAAAATTGTAACAAAAAGGAGTTATCGCATAAACAGATCATGAATTATTCTTAGCAAATTACACTTTTTTTCTTAAAGCATTCACCATTACAATAAGCAGAACAATGGAATATTAGCCATTCATATCTGGTAAGCTTCAGGAATAAAAAACAAACAAAAGCAAAACAAAACCAAACAAACCCCAAACCCACCCCCAAACAAAAAGAACATTCGCACTGGAGGATCAAAACATTAACCAATTCTTCAGTTAAACATTGTAGAACTCTGGATACTCAATGAATTGCCAAGGAGAGGAGCACCTGCCAGTGTGTTTTCAGATTTTATAGGAAGCATTTAAATAAAATGGCCATTTAACCCTAAGCCACTGACGTTCCTCTGAAGCAGAAGCCCAAGCACCGGAATTTTCAATGCTTTACGTTCCATGTTTCTGTCCCTTCTTTATTCCTCCCAGCATTACTTAATCTGCAAATCAATATACAGAAACTTAAAGGCTAAACTCGCTGGGTGCCCCAGCTTCCTTTCAAATCAGGCACACAAATGTGGGGAGGATGCTACTAAAGTCAAAAAGGAAAGAAAGACAAAAATATAAGAAAAAAGTTTGCATAAGAAAGATTATCTACCCTTTTCTTTTTTTACCTACTTTCTTTTAAAGAAGCATTAGGGTAAACTACAAATACCTGAGGAGTTGGTTACCTTTTAATGTTGGCTGACAAATGTATGAACTATTATGAAAATTCCCATATTGGACCCACTTGTATGTTTCTAAAAGTAAAATGACATGGCTTCTTTGATTGGGGGAAACTGATTGGAGTAATTCCTTATTTTCCTGAAAGCACATGCCTAGTCTTGACCCACTAGGACGTATGCATCAGTAAAATAAGACCTTGATTTTACACACACATCAGGGAAATCACCCCTGAATAAACTTTAGACAGAGAATTTGGTACAATAATTTTACCTAATTTAAATAACTAAAGTTAAAATCTCCTCTAAGTTATTAAAAATGTTAATCAGATATGAGTCTTAACATACCCATTAAGACAATTACAATTGAAAACATTAAATGACGGAAGTTGCCTTGTAAAAGCCACCCGTATGAAAGGAGTACATGTTTGACAAAAATAAGCATAAAAAAGGTATTAAATCCCTGTTCCTTTTCTCTGATTTTGGCTGATTATGTGTGTGTGTGTATATACATATACATATATATACACACATACATATACATATATACACACACCCACACACACAAATACATAGTTATGTGTATATATTGTTTTGGAATGTCAATGGGTTCCATAACCGTCGGCTAGGTTCAAGCAGAACTTGCTCCAGAAGCCTAGAAAACAAAGTCATACAGAGTACAATCTTAGACAATTACCATTAAAAGAAGATCATGAACGATGTTACAAATATACACATGGTCACAAATAGCAAATGGATTTAGAATCCTTCTCCCCTGAACCCATATTTCTGGGGCTGAAATTCTCATGAGTGGTGAGAATCAAACCTCCTTCAGGATAATCTTTGAGATGTGCAAAGCACACTTCTCCAGCCCCTGTTCCCACGGTACCCGAGTTTTCCCCTCCCTTTCCTCTTTGTAAGTTAGCAAGCAGACAGCCAGAAAATCTCTTTCCTAAACCTCTTCATCACATTTGGTAAATTTTTCTAAAGTCACTTTCAAAGAGTTACAGAAAGAACTCATAAATCTTTAAAGTTTCCTTAACTAGTGAGGCTCTCTCAAGAAAAGGCTCAAGAACAAAACGGGAAGTTCTCATATTTCATTCAATGATCCCATGTCAAAAGGGAAATTTAAAACCTCATTTTTTATAGGCTAAAAATAAGCCCTAAATTAAAATATCCCATTAAAGAGGAAGATAGACAGTGAATTCAAACAACGGCGATGTTCCCAGAGATACTGCAAAATAGGCATGATGCTCTTTTACAGACTTTTCATCTATGTGAATTAAAAGAAGCAAATACAAATAAGCAATTCTAAATTCTACCAATCCCCAAACTTTGGCGGGGAGGGGATTTCTCAGATAATTGTTTAAAAACACCTAGGAGGGATGGTGGTAGGTGAGGCCAACTCTAATCATGCACACCGTGAAAGAGAGATAAGGAAGATAAGGTATTGATGGGCTTCAAAGTAAAACTACTCTGTGAGCAACATTTCACACTTGCCTTTGGGAGAATTTTTCAACCGTTTAAAACACCACTCTTAGGGACAGGATGCTACAATGTCTGAAGTACCAGAAGAACAATGCACATAAAAGATGTATTTTGGGACAAAGCAGGGGGTTTTTGCCATTAATCTGCAAGCGATGAACTGATGAACAACATAAAATGAAAACAAAAACTAAATGAAAATTTTAATGAATTGTTTGATGTAAGTGACAATAGTTTAAAACTGACAATACTATTAGGAAAAAACTCTAAAATTTTTGGCTTCTGGTAGAATACCATATAACTGGGCAATTCTCCTATAATTATTACCTATAGGTTAGGGGTTTAGATAAGGTAGGTGTATTTGTATTCTGGTCTACCACAATTCATCTACCATTCATTAAAGAATATTACAGAAATAAATACCAATTCATGGCCAAATTAGCTTGTTCTCAACCTTCAAATATTTCTCCCTTGTTTTTTTAATATATATATTTTTTAAAGAGACAGGGTCTCGCTCTGTTGCCCAGGCTGGAGTGCAGTGGCATGATTATATCTCACTGTAACCTCAAACTCCTGGGCTCACGTGATCCTCTTGCCTCAATCTCCTAAATAGCTGGGACTATACGTGTGCACCACCATGCCCAGCTAATAGCTCCCTTTCCTTAAATGCTTATTACTGAAGAATGATTTAATGGAAGCTTGAATTACTGCAAAGACAGAAAATAGGGGAAAGGCTCGTTTATATTTTAAGATTTCAATGTGCTTTTACATTTTAGGCTTGGAATCTTTATTTCCTGAACAATTAGGACAACCAAATTGTAGAAGAAAGCAAGCCTTCCTCCTTTCTCCATGTTACCGTTGGGTTGACAGAATCTTCACTGCTGCCCTCCTTGGCCTATGTGAAGTAAGAGGGACACAGAAAGAAGGGGGAGGGGTGGTGAGCAGGTAAGGAAGGTGGCTGAGGAGATTGCTGGTGAGCTCCGCTGTGCCCACACAATCCACTTCTGCATGATGCACACTTACAATATAGAGCTCTGTGGATATTCTACATTCCTTTACTTGTGATTAGAGTGATCTGTGCTTTGGGAATCTGAACATTTAAGTCTGACTTTATAACTATTCATGCTGTTAAGAGCAACACCAAAATAGGCACTAGATGGGGTTACAGAAGAAAGAGTTTATATCTAAACATTTTGCTGAGGCTTTAATTTAGGTTGAATATGTAATTATTTTTGTCTATACATATGCATGCCCTCCCTGCCTCCCCCCAATAAATGAACCTATTTCTTTTGCTTTCATATATTTAAGTGAGCTTGTTTTATACCGTATATTTCTTAAGTTGCAAACTTACAAATCAAACCATTTTATTAAAGTGTAAGGAAGAAAGAAAGGAACGTCCTCGCCTCACACTTTTGGGCATTATATACAATCAGGTGGCATGTTGTTTAAAATTAATTGTTTAAGGATGTAGGCAATTATATAACATTTTGGAAATAAGCATGCTATTTAAAAAACAATACATTTGTAAAATAAAGAAGTAATTAGGCCAATATATGCTAGAGGCGTCTGTTGTTATGCTGCAGTGAGAATATCTATGGGAAAAGCAACTCAAGATTCTCTTAGACTGATTAAGGCGCTTTATTCAAATGAAAGTGGAGTAGGGAGATATATCTTTCTATATTGACCAGAGATAATTTATCCTTTTCACAATTAAGCTGGAAGAAGACTAGGTTGTCTTATTGAGTGGGAATGTGGGTGTTGATGGAAACAGCCTGTTTGCTACTGAAAAATAGCTTTAAGAAACAAAGAAAGTACAATATAGGCAACAGAAGAAAAAGTCAGCAAAGGGGAAAAGACAGCAATGTAAACAGAACAATATTTTAAAAGGGGGAGAATATGAGTTTTTAGCAAGTTGAAAGGAATCGCTATTATCACCTTCCAAAATGATAAAAATCAAACCGTCAGTTCAAGCGTACACCCGTATGCTCAGTCTGATTAAAAACACTGACAGTTAGAAGGAAAACAAGAGAAATACCAGTTTTATCTTAGGGACAAAACTATCATCCCCCAGCCCCCATGAGCACAAAGAGGAAGCTGTTCCTTTCAGCTTACTTTTACAGAAGGTGGTCTCAGTTGTGACAAGAATTCTGCCATCCAAGTGATGGGTAAGCACACAAACAGAAAGAGCAGCACGTCCTGCGTGATACAGATAACAAAAGCTTCTCCTGAAGAAGTGCAGTCAGTGAAGACAGAGAGAGAGAGGAAGTGAAAGTGAAATTCTTGGAGGGCAGCCACCTCCTCATCGCCACCTACCATCGGCTTTAGCTCTCTGGCATCAGCAGCGCCTCCCTTACCAGCTTCTTTCATTGCTTTCCTACTGTTTTCCACAAATTCCTGCAAAATAGGGACCACATTACGTAAATTCTCGGGTCCTTTCAGATTTCAGTGAATAGATGAATTCTAAAGAACACTGACATTTTTGACTCAATCTTGGTAAATGGATGGCCTAAAAACATAGCAATCAATAATATTTAGTATCACACATAAGAGCTGCTAAATTTGTAGAAATGGATTGCAATCCGTTGATAAAAAAAAAAATCTTCTTTCCATCCATTCACTGTGACAATCTTACTAAGGCTCCAAGAGATAATGTTAGTTCTATCTGAAAGAGAAAATATCTAACATTATTAAGAGACTATTTTCCCACACTTAGAATATCATTGTATTTGTTGTTTTATTTTTTTTCATATCAAGGTTAAATGAAACAAGAACATGTTAATCCATAAGCCTCCACTTTAAAACAACCCTAGAAGGTAAGAGAAAGCATTGATACTGCTAAGCACAAAATACTGTTTTTTACCAAACCATAAATAAGCTATTTTAAAAAAAGTCCATTTGGCCTTGACATTACTTAGTAAAGCAGGAAGACAGGGTGTATCAACCAGAATTTTTGGTTAGAAGTAGTTAAAATGAGAATATGCCTCAAAGGAAACATTTCTATTCTGTCAAAGTTTATGAAGAACTTCTTCATTAAATATCCTCACCATTCTTATAGAGAAACTGAACGGAGAAAAACTATTTTCTATTCTAAACTGTTTATCAGTGGCTTAAAAAACAAAAACTCTTCTAAACGCTTTAATCAGAGATGCTTTAGGAGAGATGCATTGCTCATATATCAAATTCCATTATGAAAATAAACAGAATTAATTTAGACATTAAGAAAATACCCAAAATTCAGTTGATATTCAGTTGAAATCAGTATCAAATAGATCAGCTAAATTATTTGGAATTTGTTATTGAAAAAGTCTATTAGCTTATTTATTAATACACTTATTTTAGATTTAACTGGATAAAACATGCTCATGAGAAATGACTTGCATTATAATGTATAATGTTTACTCTTCAATATTACCTATTTTTGAGATAAGAATATTTCGCAGCTTACTAGAAAAGTACTAGTATTAAAAAGAATCTTTAATTTGGTAGCATTTAACATTGGTGATAATAGTACTTAAACCATTTTAACATGGTCTTCAAATTTTTAAAACATTTAAACTGATGTCCTAATATAGGGAAGTTTCAGAGGCTACATAACTATCCAAATATGAATATAAATAATATCTGTGTAAAGGTTCAGATCTTGATTAATAGAAAGCAATATAGTCTACCAGTCTTGAGTCTGTTACCTCTATTCATTACAAAATGCTTTTAATTTGGCCTAGCATGTTTAAAACGATTAACTAGGGTTGACAGCAATAACATTTGGAACGATGGTGGATGAAAAAAGACAGGTAGGTAGAAGGACCTGGGAAATAAGACCTTTTGTCTTTGAGCTCCATTTCAGGAAAACTTAGAACATCAGTGGCCCAATGTTCCAATTCAAGGGCGAGAAGGCAGGTTTAAAAAGTCAATTCAAATCCAACTAATTGCAGAGAGAGAGGCAGCAGGGGAGAATGGTGTGAATTTAGGACCAACTCTTAATGAGTACGGCTCTAGCTAAGTGGATCTGAAATGGTCTCGTCCTTGCCCCAAGAAGGCCTTCTTTCCTGACTTCCCCAAGATTAACCTTATTCATTCATGAGTGCTACTGGTTTCATTTGGAACTACTCAGTTGCCTATTGCATGAATTAAATATAGAGAATGTTTTGCAAGATATCTTTACTAGTATTTTTATCCCTAAAGCAGTAGAGGGCATGTGAAGTACTTACCATCAGCACTTTATCCATATAGAATTCTCTGCCAGGGCTCCCATCATTGTATTTTGTATCAACGGCAAAACACAAGAATAATACATCCACTACCATTTCGTAAATGGACAGGAAGCAATGAGCGACTAGGAAAGCAAAGAGGCAGACGATGATCAGAGGCAGCACCCATACTGTGTAATCCTGCTGGTAGTTGAGCAGCATAATCCCAGCCAAGCCTGTGCTGCAGACTATCAGCACCTGAAGCAGAAAGAACAAAGACCACATTTAATATCTACTGTAGAAAGCCACTGTTTCTTCATCATTTGCAGACTTAAAATTGTCTTTACTATTTATAAATGATGGTTGCATAAGGCCATTCCATCTCAAATGAGGACGTATAAGCCATATATTCCCATATACACAGAGTTATACATGTATATCATATATTAATAATACTAATTTAAAAATCATACTTTATATGATTCTGATTTACATTAAAGATAATCCAGGTTTTCAAAGGTTACTCTGCTCCCTAAAACTTAACCTGTTTAGAATCAGTGGCAATTTTTAAGATAAATGTAAGCAGATTTTAGGAAAAAAATTACACACACTCTTAGCACTCAGAAGAAAACTACTGACATTTTGGGGTATTGGTATGCATTTTTCTTAAGCATTTTCACATGTATGAAATAGTTTTACATAAACAAATCATTAAAAGCTTTTCATTAATATTTATAGTGTCATTATAAATGCTTCATAAATATTTACTCAGCTATATAATTTCATTTTATGGGTGATTTAAAATTTATTTAACCATTCTTCTACTGTTGGAGATTAATATATTGTTTTCAGATATAAATAATGCTGCAACAAACATCTCTATTCTTAGAACTTTTTCTGTTTCATATTTTATTTCCCACAGAACATGTGCTAAATTTAATATAATTTGCCATGAAGTTTAGATTTGGACTATCTGTGAAGAAAGAGGTTGCCAAAAACATCTATGCTAAAAGAATAAAAGAAACAGCCAATTTGCTTATTGTCAAGAGCCACCTACTCTGATGCTTCATCATCTCACATGCAGCACTTTAAATTTTTTGAGGTTATTTTAAATACATTTTATTTCAGCTTGTCAATAACCTTATGAACGGTTTATGGCAAACATTATCATCCCCATTTTACAGACTGGGAAATATGCTCAGAGATGCTAGGCAACTTGTCCAAGGTCACAGAATAGGAAAAAGAGCAGATATCACTCAAACAATGGTCTTAGGATGCCAACTCCAGTGCTCTTTCCAGATGAAAACTCACCAAATATTTGGATCCTGATACACAGCAGTAATGGGTTATACTGGATCCTAGACACACTCTTACCCAGCCCTTTACTCGTTTGACTATGATATCAGGCTTTAAATGAAGGAAAAGAAAGAGTCCTCTAGAAGCACAGCAGCCTTTCCCTGTCTAGTGCTGAGGGCAGGCAGGCTGAGAATTCTTCTTTTGCCTTTTCCCCAATATTTATCAACATCAAAGCATCTCTCATTCACCATTATCTTAATCAGGAGTTAAAATGCATTAGATGATACACTGGTTAAGCAATAAATTGATCCTTCTCTCAGATGCTTTTGGAGAGCAAATCTGGGTCTGCCCAAGCTTTGGAAGACTCCTCCTACCATGTTTTAAGAATCTTCTCTTATAGTAACTTATTTTCTGGGGTGATTTCCACAGATGGTTAATTACATCCATGTTCTTCAACTCTTCTGGTTTCAATTTTAGAATGAGTTATTTTTTATACTCTTGAAATGTTGCACATCCACCCTATTGGAGGGCTGAGGTTCTTTATGCTCTCACCATGCCAGTAAAAGTTAAACCACATTTGAAATGGTAAAGTCAATTATAAGAAGAAGGTAGGCTCGAACGAACTAGATGTTGAGACAAAAAGCTACTGATATGGAAGGCTGGATATTGGCATGCACAACTTCAAGAACCAGTCATGTTTAGCTAAAAAATGTAATAATTACTCCCAAATATAATGAAAAGGTATCATGCACTTATTCAAGCAGAGGATACAGTAATGGTTCCCAAACTACAGAAAGTCTAGGAATGCAGATTCTTGGGCCTTAATCCCAAAGAGTCTGATTAGCTGGATTCAAGATAAAGCCCAGCAATATGCATTTGAAAAGTACCCAAGATACTGATAAAGTCCATAACCTACAACTCAAGAAGTACTTGTATATATCAGCGATCTCTGTGGTGGGATACATACCCTAGGGAGTATATTTAACAGGATCACCTGAGACTTCTATTTATATTTCTCATCTATTTAAAATTTCTTTTTTAATATGCTTTATAATGCATATATTAGTAACAGCTATACATAGATCATTAATAAATACATTGGGGAACCGTGCTCAAACTTTTTTTTCTAATAGGATGAATGATTTTAAGTGTTTAGACACTCCTAGAGGATAAATTATTGGGAATACAGTAGAAGGGTTTCATACACAGGGTAGGATGTGAGAAGCAGGAAGGAACCAATGCCAGCTTTGGAGTCAGAAAGATGCAGATTCGAATTGCAGAATTAGTACTTAGTTTAGAAACTCTGAGCAAGTTCATTTAACCATTCTGAGCATGTTTTCCCATCTTTAAAAAAGACATGATAATACATACATCCCACGATTGTTAAAATAAGCATCCTGAAAGCATTTAATGCAATGCCTGGCAATGTTCCATCCTCCCTCCCTTCCTCTCTTTCTTTCTTTGCCATCATAAGTCCTGCATTCATGATGCCCTTTCCCCATGGAATGTGCATTTTAAAAGATTTTGTTTGCCAATAAAATAGCATTTATAAGTAACAATTCACATTCTCACATTAAAAATCCAAGTCAAATAAACTGTCAACTAGAAGATACAATTTGTGTGAGAAAAGGTATTACCATAGAAGTAAAATAATTTCACACAGAAGCAAAGAAACTTGAGATTTGGGGAGTTTTTTAGGATAGGTTTACTGAGGCAAATATCAATATCTTTTAGGCTTAAAAATGCTTAAATAGCTTGTAAGCCTCTATTCTTATCTTTAGGACCCTATAGGCTAGTGATCACAGGTCACAAGCCACTAAACTAGAGTAACTAAGGGCCTTTCCAAATCGAATTCACCATTCCATAAAAACTGTTGGGGCTCCATAGAAATGGAACTTATGACATTGTCTCATTTTTTTTTTCCTTTTTAAATTCAGGGGTTTTAAATTTTGAGGTAATTGTGAATTCACATGCAATTGTAAGAAATAACACAGAGTGATTCCATGTACCCTTTCCAGGAGTCCCCAACCTTTTTGGCACTAGGGACCAGTTTCATGGAAGACAATTTTTCCACGGATGGAGGGGGACGCTGGGTGTCGGGGAGGAGGAGCTCTGGCAGTGATGCGAGTGATGCGGAGCGGCTGTAAATACAGATGAAGCTTCACCCGCTCGCCTGCAGCTCACCTCCTGCTCTGCAGCCGAGTTCTTTATAGGCCATGGACCACTACCGGTCCACAGCCCGGGGGTTGGGCACCGCACTTTAGCCAGTTCCCTTCAATGGTGACATCTTTTAAAACTATTGTACAATGTCACAACTAGGATACTGACACAGATACAGTCAAGATACAGAACATAGAACATACCCACCATCACTGGAATCATTCACTTTGCCCTTTTAATGCTACCCCTACTTCCTCCCAACCCCATCTCCAATTGGGCAACCACAAATCCATCCTCCATTTCCATAATGTTGTCACTTCTATAATGTTATATAAATGGAATCATACAGTATTAATCCTCCGGAATTGGATTTTTTCACTTGGCATAATTCCTTCAAGATTCATTCGAATTGCTGCGAGTATCAGTAGTTCATTCCTGACATTGTCTTTTATAA